CCCCCTCCTCCCCACCCCCAAAAAATTTTTTAAGTTTGTTTTAAAAAAAAAAAATTCAACTTCAAATTTTTATTTTTTCACCTCTACCTTCGACCCCCCGGCCGGCCCAACCCCTCACTCCCAAAAAAAATTTAAGTTTGTTTTTAAAAAATATTTTTAATTTCAAAAATTATTTTCTTCTCTAGTAAAAATAAAAGATATTTTCAAAAACATTTTTCATTCATAAATCAAACACTAAAAATCTTTTGCGAAAAATATTTTCTACTCACCAACCAAACATGAGAAAATAAATCAAAAATCTACTTATTTTCCAGGAAAACATTTTCCATCCTACCAAACGCACCCTTAGTCCGTGTCGTTTTAATGTATGTGCGATACTTTTTTTCTTTTTTTTTTTATAACTTCTCAAGGTAAACTCCCTCACTCTTATCTTATTTAAATAAATTGGATTATTCTAGATGAGCGATTTATCCAACCGTTTATTTGCTTAATTAGTGAGTCTCTATTTTCTTTTTGGGGGAAAGGATCCAGTCCAGTAATAAAGCCTTCGATAATCCTCAATGGTCCTCTGGATTAAAGCCACCTGACTGCTTATATTCTTTCTATCTATATATATTTTTTTAGTACTACATAAATTGAGAAAGAAGAAATGACCTCTATTATTTGAAAATGGCGTAAAAGTATTACAAATCATACGATAAGAATTAACAATTTAAAATTTTAAAAGACTTTAATGCTTTATACTTATTCTATTTCCACTTTGGACAAAAATATCCTTCGAATGTGCAATTTCTTAAAAACAAAAAGTCGGATCCATTATTGATGTATTGAAGGATGCTTTGGTAATTTTCCTATGATGAATTCGTTTTGTTTGTTTCTTTTAAATTTATTTTACTATACTAAATAATTGTATAAAATATTATGAATCACGATAATTAATTACTTAATTATTTAAAAGATATAAAAATATATAAAAGATCTGATTTACTCTTCAAATTTTACCGGTGACACATAAATTGGGACAAATGAAATAATATATATTATTTGAAAATTTCTTAGAAAGTACTATAAATTACAGTAATTAATAGCTAGAATTATTTCAAAGGCAAAAAAAATTGATTGAATCTCAAATTTTTTTTAGTACTACATAAATTGAGAAAGAAGAAATGACCTCTATTATTTGAAAATAGGCGTAAAAGTATTACAAATCATACAATAAGAATTAACAAATTTAAAATTTTAAAAGACTTTAATGCTTTATACTTATTCTATTTCCACTTTGGACAAAAATATCCTCCCAATATGCATATTTTTTTAAACAAAAAGTGGAACCCATTATTGATGTATTCAAGGATGCTTTGCTAATTTTCCTATGATGAATTCGTTTTGTTTGTTGTTTAATTTTTTTAAAATAATTGTATAAAATATTATAAATCACAACAATTATTTACTTAAATATTCAAAAGATATAAAAATATGTAAAAGATCTGATTAACGCTTCAAATTTTATCGGTGACACATAAATTGGACAAATGAAATAATATATATTATTTGAAAATTACTTACAAAGTTACAATAATTTACAGTAATTAACAATAGAATATTTTAAAGACAAAAAAATTTGATTGAATCTCGAAATTTTATTAGTACCACATAAATTGAGAAAGAAGAAATAACCTTTATTATTTCAAAATTGCGTAAAAGATATTACAAATCATACAACAATAATTAACAATTTAGAATGTTAAAAGACATAAAAAAAATTTTTACCATAGTTAACAATAATTAAAAATTTAAACTATTTTAATTAATATTAAAGTTTGATTAACTCTTTAATTTTGTCTTTGTCACATAAATTGAAACAAAAATGATACATATTGGGCCCGTGCTAGCACGGGCTCCGATGTCTAGTATGTTATATATGAATTTATGTTATACTATTTGGACATTCCTTCTGTTTGGCTTCTCAAGCAAAACATTCAAACTAATTTTGATAATTCTTTTCATCTTTTGTGGCTCCGGCTGAGATGTCAATTATCACCAACCCCACTACTTACTTACAGGTTGAAAGGCGATTATGTCTTTATAAAGGAGTTTAAGTAGGGTGAGAATAAGAATTAAATCGATTGAATGACCTCTCCGCCTTAAAATTCCAAAAAAAATAAGGTACCCTAAATCCAATCAACTCAAAAAATATTTTGAAGAAGTAAAATAAAGTTAGAAAACCATCTATACTCCCAAATATGATCGATAGTTACATGAACAAGAGAGCAGGCGAAAAAGTAAACTAGCATCTGAATTTTGAAGAACAGGGATTAAATTGTTATTGGGAGATGAATTAAAACATGAAAAGTTAATCAAAGAGAACAAAAATAGTAGAGAAAGAACAATAATCTGATTTTTGGGGATAAATTAAAATTGGGCAAATTACAGAAATCACATACTTTTAAGGCAAAATTACAATCTATCCCTTAAAAGTTTATAATTACAGAAATTCCTCAAAACGGATACAATAATATAAGCGTTGATACATTAATCTGATGCGCGAGATACATTAATCGTTAGGTAAGATACATTACATTTTATACAAGATACATTAATCTGATGTACATTTTATACATGATACACTATCTGATGCGCGAGATACACTAATCTGATGTGCAAGATACACTAATATGATGTGCGAGATACACTAATCTGATGCGCGAAAATGAGGAATTTTTGAAATTTGTAAAACTTATAGGAAATAATGGTAATAAGTAAACTAAAATGTGAGATTTCTGCGATTTTCCAAAATTAAAAGGTTAGGTGGGGTTGTCTTTATTGATTTTTGTGGTTATTCATGACAAATTTATCCGGACCATTAAATATATAAACAGCCAGGTGGCTTTAATCCAGTGCACCATTGAGAATTACCGGATGATTTATTACTGGACTGGATCCTTTTCTTTCTTTTTGTACTTCCCATTGATGACTAACCATAAGTCATTACTCATTAAAATATGCAACATTTTAAAATAAAAAGGAGTTTAAGTTCTATACATTGATAGTAATATCTTTTTTATTTTTACATAATTAAGTTATTATCGGATGAATCTCTAGATAAGTATTACTATTAAATTATTATATGATAAAAATAATAACTAATTAACCTACTGTGATATGTTTAAAAGTTACAAATGGTCTAAGGAATTTTGGGGTGTATATATAACATAACTTAATTCTAAATGACAAAAAATGTTACTTTTAGTTTTTTTTTTCTTTTTTGGAACAAAAGGTCCTCATGTTGCAATTAACAGATTACCTGCACTTGCAAATTAGTACAGCTTAAAATGATCATTGATCTTCAGTAGGTAATTAAACATTTTGAGTAATATAAATGTTCAATTGATGCTAATCTGAAGAGGATCGAACAAATTTAAGGGGTTGCATATATATATTATGCCAATTGATTTTTTTTAAAAAAACTTACTAACCTAAGAGGATTAATCCAAACAAAATATTCTGGAAAAAAATCATGTATATTATAGGAAAACTTAGAGATGTCACGGATTGAATATTTTTTTGAAATGGTTAATGAATCCATAACAAGATAGTGTGCTATTTTTTAGATTAAGGGTGTGTTTGGTAGGAAGGAAAATGTTTTCCTAGAAAATTGACTGAAAGTACATATATTTTGATATAATACAGACTTGCAGAGTAACCAATTTTTTTGGTTCCGCTTAAACTCTTCAGAAATGTTGATGTATGTGTATCGGATCCTTTAGTATATTCGGAAGATACGATAGGGGGTGTATATTTGCAAATTTTTTTTGAAGAATTTAACCAAACGTAACTTTTGTCTCATTGATATGAGAGGTCAATTAGTGATCATATTTGACTTAAATTTAAATTGATACTTTAATTTGGCAGTTCAAACATCGTAATCAACCATTATCCCCAATTTTAGCTCTTTCCAAAACTTACTCCCAAAGGATGACTTTTAAAGAATTGCTCAAATTCAGTTTAATTTCACATTTTTGCATATATAGGTTAGTTTGTGTATATTGACAATTTTAAATTTTTTTATCACCCAAACTAATTTGAGATTTGCGTCAAGTTCACTAAGAATGGTAAAGGTTTCATATCAACAAGTTTTTAACTTTCACTTGGACGATACTTTTCTAGCAAATGTTATATACTCATAACTCATAAGTCTTGTTTATCAATTATTTAAGTTATCGACTAATCCAAATATGTGTTGCGTAAGGCCTATTAAGGAGTAAATGCTCCATAACAAAATAAAATTCATATCCAGGACTCGAATTTGAGATAAGAAACACTTAATAATTGGCAATGATGAAGTCATTGGATTTTACTAGTTAGGAATAATATATATTCTAGAGTTGGTAAATAGCATGAGTTGTTAAACCTTTCCAACAGCTTGCACAATAGCAACTACTAACAAAAAATAGACAAAGACACTTATTATAAAAACTTATAGTATGATTTTAACTTCATTTTTTCTACTAAATTCTTCAAATTCATCTTAAAGAAGAATAATTTAACATATCTAATACAATCTCATTACTAATATCAACAAAAATTAAATCACCAACCACCTTACCTATTTCCCTTTTCTCCTCAACTCCACTTGACTCTTCAAAAGAACTCAACATACTAGAAATGGGAATTAATTGTTTGATATTAGTTTCATTTATGGATTCTTGGCTCCATAACCAAATATTTTGTAATAGAAGCTCCCATAGTTGCTCAGCTCCTAAAATTCTTTGAAATTCTTCTTCTTTCCCTTTTTGATTTTCCACCACTTCTTTAACACAATCAAAAAGGAGTTGTCTTGATTCTTGTATTGCTTTCTTGTTCTTAATGTACTGAGACTCGTGGCTTGTTTCTTCTGAATTTGAAACTGATTGACTTGGAAATTCCTCTTGTTTCTTTGCCTTGACACATTCTTGTTCTGTTATTTGGTTTTTTTCATACTCCATAATTTAGTTCAAAGTTGTTGTAAAATGTAAATGCACACAGTATTATAGTCTATACGCTGTTTTCGAAAGATACTCGAAAGACAATAATAAAAATGAAAATGATAGTGGAGAGAAACATGACCTAATAGCAAAGTAGAGCGGAACATATATGCAAGAAACCGTAAATATCTTATTTATTTTATCATAGATTATGAGAATTTATCTTAAATAGTATATCTATTTTTCTACATGTCAAGTTATGGTAAGATCTGTGTATATTATACCCTTTCCAAAACTCAGGGCTAATTTGAGTATGTTGTTGTTGTAAATCTGTTTAATCATGAAATTTGAATCTTCAAATATATTTTCAAGTTCCTAGAAACTGGTCTGACATATATCAGTTTTTGGATTTTTGAAACTTTCACTTACAAAACTTCAAATCTTTTCATGTAAAATGCATATCCAAACACGACTTCAAATTTCAAAAAATCACAACGTCAATCATTAAAAATTCAAATTATAACTTCAAAATCTATAATTTAACGGGAGCTGAAAGTAGTACTACTTACTTTTAACATGTGGAGAATCATCATCATCAGAAGATTCAGTTTCTTCTAGAACTGACACAGGACTGAGTTGCTTACTTTCTTCAAGAAATTCCAACCTTAACTTTCTTCTCTCTTCAAAAACCTGTTACCTTATCAACAACCAATCTGAATTCAATCACACTAAAGTCACAAAACTAATTTTTATTATGTCAGTCGCTAGTAAAGTTGTACAATTATTTTTTTTCGACGAATTTCACCTATATTAAATGTCATAAAACAGAGTTTTTACCTGTTTTTCATGTAGAAAGTTGCCATATGCATCACTAGAATCATAACAAGAATTGAACACAGTCCTACTACTTGTTGAAGAAATTTTCTCATCATTTGCAATAACATTACTATTTTTGCTTGTAGAATTGTTGTGTTCTTGATCATTTGCCAAATTCTTTATTTTTTGATTATGGCTAAATGTAACAACTTTATTAAACACAGATTTCACAATCTTTGAACAATTAAGAATCTGTTTCCTTCTCTTCTTTGCACCACAACTAGCTGATCTCTTCAAGAACAAATAAGTACTAGAATCTGTAGAACAACATCGAAAATCGCGATCCGAAATAAGATGTTTGTTTTTAAATTGACCTCTTTCAAGAAGATAGATTTGTAAGGTAAATGGTTCTTGTTGTTCTTGAAGGAATTGTCCAAGTTGTTTTGACATAATTTTTTGAAGTAAGCTAAGCTAAAGCTATGTTGGTAGTAATAAATTTTGAAATGACTAAATGAGAATGGGTAGAAAAGGCAAAAGGATATGGAATTTTGGGCATTAATTGGGAGAGATAATTAATATATAGGCATCTATGTCTATATATTATACAAAGTGTTTGTTTGGATCAGAATAGTGCTGCAAATTTAAATTTAAAGGGATGGGGGAATTGGAGAAAAGACAAAAAAAAATGATTCACTTTTTGTGCAAGAATTGGATTTTTTCAAATATTTTTTACATAACCTTTTTTGTGACCATGCATCTAAAGTCAATGAGTGAGCTAGCTAGCTAGGTATTTTTATAGTTAAAGCTACCAAGCCTTGAGAAGGTGGGTGGCTTCTAGTAGTGGCAGGGGCGGCTCTACAACTTTGAAAAAAAAGTAATTGCCTTATGCCCCAAAATTTGAGGGGTCTCATTTTTATTTTTTTTTAAAAAAGGTTATAAGTATTTTATTTTTTTTAAATATCGAGTATTACTTGTAGAAAATATATTTTTTTCATAAAAATGCAAAGAAGTAATAAAAGTTCGACAAATTAAGAATACTATGTCTCAAGAAAGATTAAATAATTGGCTATAATAAACTTCATAAAAATATATATTTAAATTTAAGGCCTCCATTCGAATTTGGCTTTAGGCCTCCGATTTATTAGAGCCGCCCCTGTCTAGTGGTCCCACCTCATGGAAAAAATAATTAAGTTATATATACGGACAATATAAATATTTTTATACGGTTAATGTAGTTTAGCTTGTGATGATAGACATTCTCAATATTAATGTCTTGAAGATGATTTACCATTAGTGAGAATTTCTCGAGCCTCCAAGCCTTTTTAGCATGAGATTTTGAGTCTCGCGTGTATACTATCTAACATCAAGGTAGGGGCAGAGTTATAGTGGTGTCAGGCTTATCATCAAGGCAGGGACAAAACTATAGTTGTGTAAGGATGGTCACCGGAACATTCTTTATCGAAAAATTATATTGTATATACAAGTCAAATATTACTCTATATTGATATATATAGGATTTAGAACACCCTTTAAACAATAGAGATCGGTAACTTAGTGACTGAGTGTGCACATATTGATATGGTACCTAGGTTCGATTCCTTGCATTCGCATTACACACGAGAGAACAACAACTCAGTAGCAAGGTTGCAATTCAACAAATTGAAGGTCACTCAAGTTCGATTCCTCATGTTCACATTTTTTAACACCATTCGTGAAATTTTTAAATACGTTATTAAATCAAGATATCTTAAAAGCGGGTCCTATTTTATGTATGATGTCTATCTAGGGTAGTGTATGAAATATATAACAAAGATGAACTTGTTGAACTTTATGTCATATAGGTCTGAGTTGGACAATCAAATTTAATTTTTGTTTCACTCAAGAGGTGAACAGGATCTCAATAGAGTTACGATTTCTATTAGGTGACTTATTAATGCTTATTGCAAAAAATTGCTTGTAATTGACTTATAACTGAACTGATCATGTATATATTCTTTTAAATTGAACTTAAATTAATGGGGAAAAAAACAAGGATTAGATTTGTATAGAATGTGGTCCTGATATATTTTGTTTTTTTGTTCAAGCTAATTAAGAGCAACCTAGCTAAAAGAAGTAACAAAGGAACAAAAAAAGAAAATAGAAGACTTGCTGCATGGCAACTTCAATTTGGTAACACTTGTATGGTTACTGATTTGTCTAAGCAATAAATTAGCATAAAATTACACGTTTTGTCCTTTAAATAAGTTACTCTAACTTTTAATTTTTATTCTTCAAATGGATTGATTTGTTATTTTTTACCTTTTAGCATTCAAACTTATGCATTATGACTAGCTAGTGAAGCATATGCTTCTTAGAAACTGAAGTCATGCTAAGGCATAGTTTATAAGATATTACGATACGAAAATATAAATTCATGTCTAACAAAAAAGTTATTTGTTACGAGGGACATAATTAAATGACAAACACAAAATATGACAAAAGTGCAATGGCCCATAAATTAAGGGGCCGTTTGGTTTGTGTTGTGGAAAGAATATTTCCCACATAAATTTCTGCATTATTATTTTAAAATCATAATTTTATAATAATTTTTAAAACAACAATCAAGCATCCCCTATTACCTATATTTACTAATTTGTACATAACTTTCTTCTAACCCAAAAAGAAAAATAAATATTTGCACAATATAATATAATATTAAATTCATTCATAAGTCATAATCAACAAATAAAAATTGGGCTTGGGATTGAGCAAGTAGTGGGGAGATAATTTGTCTTTCCTATCCTATATGCATGTGCATCATCCTCAAACTTCTTTTTCATGTCCCCTTATCTTTTCCTCCCTAGCTAACTTCTTTAATTAATTTTGACAACAAATTTGGTGGGAAAGTATTTATATGAGCTTATTATATTATTTATTTTTGGAAAGCCACATGGTAACATAACACTCAAACCTACTTCCTTTCAACATTTTAAATAATTCATTTCACTTGTGTAATGTTGCAATGGTAAAATCTTAGATGAGTTTGTGCATTTGAACTTTTGTGTAATGTCCCGTATTTCAACAACAATAACATATCTAGTGAAATTTTACTAAGTAGAGTCTAGAGAGAATAAAGTATACACAGATCTTATCACGACCTCGTAGAGGTAGAGAAACTGTTTTCAAAAGGTCCTCAGCTCAAGTACATCAAACCCAAGTTTTTTTAAAAAAACAATGAAGAAAAAATCACAATTAACCCAATACATCTCCCTTATCACAATACGATATTAATTTTTTGTCCATAAAAATTAAGTCATGTCACGGCCGTATAAGACCCCTTTTAAAGTATCTTTTCAAATCCACACATGTCTGCTTAAAAAATTGGCATTCAAAAATAGTTGTTGGAGTATATATATAAATTATAACATTTCGTTCCTTTATCGTTTTTTTTGTAATATATTAAAGACATGATTAATCAGTAGTGAAGATTAATATGTTAAGAATTATATAATTCTACGTGTGGAAAAAGAAATGAAAGAATAAATACGATGTATAAACATTGTGTGTCAGCTACCATTTGATTATATTGCACCAACAAACATTAATTGTAGTGTGTAGATTTTTGGAGCATATTTTTCCTTAATAATTGTTGAGACAAGGCGCTGTTTGTTTTCATTATTAATAAATTACATTTCTTTTTAAGTCCGAATACGAGGAATTCTCCCAGAATCTTCTATTTTTATTTTTTGTCTCATATTAATACACAAATTAATATATTAATTAAATCACCAATACCTTCCCTTTCTTCCTTTATTGAATAACATGCAATAAGTTTGTGTGGAGGTGTGTGTGTGTGTGTGGGGGGGGGGGGGGGTGAATCGATTCATATTTCTGGGTTGTTTTGTGAGTTAGATTGGTTGTATATTGAGGGTACAATTGATCCTAGGGGTTTGGGGAAAGTAC